TCAGAGTAACAGATCTGCCCCCAAGTGAATTGGAGGCCTTGAATTAATTCTGTTATGACAAATCAAGATAAACGTTCCCCCTAAATTGCATGCGATTTAATTAATTTTTGAGATCCTGGTTTTTTTTTTTTTTTTCCTAGCTAATAGTTCACATGCTCCTGTGCTGTCATTGTGCTTGAGTGGGCAGACTTCAAAGTGATATTAAATAACCAACTATTAGATTTACCTAGCACGTCCTATTGGAAAAGTGCCATTTAATTACCTAGCCTGTTCAATTAAAGGGACAGCATTCTCTGAATATAGCAGCTTGCTGTTGATTACCAGGGAAATGAACTCGCTGTCTGGCGGCGCCTCCATTCCTAACGCCACCCCCTCCCCAAACACACCCTCCACCACCAACTACCAATTCTCCCCACCCTCGCCCCAGGCCCCCACCCCCGGCCGCGCCGCGCTCACTGCGGCTGCGGGCGCCACGTGAGCCGCCCGAGCTGAGCCCAAGGAAAGAAAGCGCGACCTGCTAGCCCGGCTCCCGCCCTGCGCTCGCCCCCTCGCGGGCCGAGGCCGCCCGCTGGCTGGGCGCTCGGACTGCGGCCTCGGGCGGCGCCGGCCCGGGTGCGGACCGCCCGGCGAGCGAGGGCCCGCCGACGACCGCCACCCGAGCTTCCGGCGCGTTTCCTCGCCCTCCCCGGACCTGGAGCCCCACCCGTCGGTCTCCGAACTTCCTCCTCTCGCTGCACTTTCCGCGCCAGTCTTCGGGCCCGAGGTGGGGGTGGAGGAAAGAGGGTTTGAGAAAAGAGAAACGGAGTTTCCAAAGCTACTTGGGGCGCTTGGGTGGAGCTGAGGGGTAGGGAGCCGGGGGAGGGGGAGGGGGCAGCCTTAGGACAAAGTGGGGGGACATGCAGACGTTGGTCCCTTTAAGACCCACCCTCCCCCTCCGCTCTACAACCCCCGCTTCATCCTTTTCCCTCCCTCTCTTAGAGGCCAATTTTGTTAATTAAATGTTTTGTTTGCGACGCAGCTCTCATTCATTGCGGACACGTCATTCGGAGCAGATCTAAGCCAGAGACCAGATCTCATTAGATAAAGCCCATCAGAACTAAGAAAATGGAGGAGCCACTAATTAAAGCTTTTAATTGTGCGGATTCGCTGCAGCAAGGCAGCCGCTTTATCTGAAATCTTGGAGGGAGAGGAGGCAGAAGCCCAGCTCTGCCCAAAGACACTTGGCCGCCGAGGGGGAGGGGACTGGTAAAGGCGCCCCCTCCTCTTGCAGCCCCCTCCCCCGCCCTCTGGCCGGCATTTCCCGGCTCTCCCGCAGCTTTTTTAGCAAGTCCTTGTTTGTTTTCAAAAAACCACAATCTCAGAGACCGTTTAACAGCCCCTCGGTAAATCGCTCCGTGGTCTCAGCCGGACCTAGGGGTCCCCTTCACCTGGCGGCGCGCGAGCAGATTACTCCACTCTTCCAACAGTGGTCCCTGCGACATTGAAAGCTTCTCCAACAAGTGGACTTGGGGGAGACTGGGGAGGGGATAGCTGAGAGGAACAAGAACGCCTGCGCTTCCCCACTTTCCCACCCTTTGGGCATCTTGATGGGCTGAGAGAAGGAACACTGAAGGAAGACTTAAGTAATCTCTTAAATTGGAGAGGAAGAGGGGCTTAGCTGCTGGTGAGCCCTGAGCGAAGTGTGAGGCCATCAATCTGGTACTGAGCTAGAACTCATCTCTCCTAGAGAAAGATCTAAGGTCCTCGGGGTAGCATCTAGTTCAGGAGGGAGTCTGGCTCCAGTTTCCAGATTCAAAGGGAAAAAAGGAAGTAAGAACGTAGATCCGATTAATTAAGGCTCAGGGCTGTGCACACATCCTCCACTGCTCCATTAGGGCACAGGAAAACACCAAAACGTCATTTACATTTGGCCCCAAGAATAGAGAAAGGCATGGACACAATTCCCAGGGAGCCACTTGCCTAAACTTGTCCTGGGGGAATACAAGTGGACCCATCTTCTTTTTAATTAGTTGTAATCAGAAGCGAGGGGTTTTTGGTCTTTATTTTTATTTTTTAAGGCACTTGGAGAAGAGATGAATATGTACCATTCACGGAATCTTAACTCAATTTTTCCACTTCAAACCACACTCTTTTTTTACCACAGTTTTGCTTTCTATTTAATTACAATACTGTCAAAGCTCATGGCATTGCTTGGAAGGAGAACCAGAAAGCATTACCCATGTTCCCTCTGATTTTCCAACATTTACTTCTAAAAGAACACTTAGTGAAATTAATGCTGCCATCTTAATTTAAAAATAAAAGCCCTCTCCCTTCCTGTATTTCTTTTACTTGACTGATTGAGGATGCCAGCAGAGTGGACACAGGTTGCATTATCAAAATAACTAAATGTCATTTTACTCCATCATCTTACACTAATGATATCACTGGGGTAAACATATCCACACTCAGCTCCGAACTGCACTGGGATCTTCTGCAATATTAGCCACAGAGTAAGGCGAATCACAATGGAGCTAAACTTTGAACAAAATGTCTCATCCATTGATTAACCCACACTGAAAATGAAAATTGTCTACTAATCACTTAAAAGAAAAAGGTTTAGGACAAATTTACATAGGATGAAATTCTTCTTAAAGTGTGATTTTCTAGTATCAACTGTGTGCGTGTGGGTTTTTTTTTAATTACTGGATGTTGAAACAGAACACCTCTTAGAAGCATTCATGTGCATCAGTCTATCAAACCATTTACTCAAATTAAATGTGTAATCCTTCAAATGCCTCCTTTCAAATTAATGAGTTTAAGTAGCTTGAGTTCACCTGAAAAGATCCTATAGGCACCTGACCTCCTGAATGCTTTCCATTAATTGCACTGCAACTTGTTGGAAAAGACTGCTTACATGGACATATGAATGTTCCTATACATTGCTTTAAAATGCAAGATTAGTATAATTCTATAGTCTCTTTTTCTAAATCTCTTTTGGGGATCAAGGGCAGTGATACAAACGACAACAACAAAAAAAAACCCAAAACCTGAACATGCTTCAAGTGAAAAAACCCTGCAAATTCGACATCGCAAACCACACACTAACTGAATTATTGCAAGCCTATCCTAACAGTATGAAGAGAGACATTAGCACTAGGTTTTATTTCTTGGGGTTTTTTTCTCTATAAGAAGAATTACAAGTCTTTAAACTGATGGATAATTAGCATATTTCACAAGGAGCACAAAGAACCAATCAACAACTTTCCACTCAAAAAAGTTTAAACATGCTTATGTAAATATCATAATAAGCCATCACCATAGACCAATCATTTCTCAAAAACTACACTTGTATTTTTAAGTCAACCTTTGTCTCCGTGGGTTCCTACCGTGTTTTAAGAACGCAGCTTAACTCCCGCTTGAAATGTTTGCTTTTAGCCGCAAGTCCAGTTGAGGCTGACCACTTAAAACTCTGGGACCAGAGGGTACTCAACCTTTGCACATCTAATGGCCCAGTCCCACCAGATGGTCTTTACTTAGTATGGCATTTGCCATTAATTTGCCATCAGATATTGGAAGACTAACACATGCTTCCTGAACCCCTTAAATTCCGTCAACTAGAAGATTTTTGAGGTGAAGGCTGCAATGTATTCCCATAGGTGCCTCCTCCTTTCCTCACAACCCTGTTAACCTTTGGCTTTGCCATTGCTCTGCTCGCCCTTCTCCAGGAAAGGCAGCAAAGCCTTACCTAATGTAGTCATTTCTGCAAAGGATCATGCCGCTCTTGGTGTAACAGGACGTGCCGATGTCGCCCAGTTGCGCCTGGCAGCAGGAGCACTTCAGGCACCGGCTGTGCCAGTAGCTGTCCATGGCATAGAGCAGAAAGCGGTCCGCAATCTTGCCCCCGCAGCCTGCGCACCGCTTCCAGGAGAGGGAGCCGGCCGTCACCGGGGGCGGCTGCGAGCTGCTGCCCGGATTCACCATGGTCTGCAGAGGGCGGGAAGGGACAGGGAGAGAAAGACAAAACAGGGGCGATGCAAAAGTTAGTAATCGCCGGAGGAAGAACAAGCCCATTCCCCTCCTCCCCCCAGAGTTGCTGGAAGGAAGCAGCAGGGCAAGGGCGGGAAGGAGGCTGAGAGGGAGAGGGAAGGAGGGAGGCTCGCCGGCAGCAGCCGCCTGTTTACTTTTCTCAAGCTTTGTTCTGGGGCCACGAGCTCCTCTCAACTTTCCTGCGCTTGCCGCCGCTGACAATTTCAGCTCCGGTACTGTCAAAACTCCGAGAGCAGGCTCCGCGGCGCGCTCCACCCCTCGCGGCGCCTCCTCCCAGCCCCCGCCTCCGCCCACTGCCCCCTCCTCCCCTCCTCCGCTGCCCGCCTCCAGCAAATGAGGGTCAAACCCACCCACCGCCGCACCCGGCCCCTCCCCAGCCCCCGCCGAGCCCCGGGAGAGAGCCAAGGGGAGTGGGGAGGCGGCGGCCCCGCCGGAGCCTCGTTCCCTCCCGGGCGCTGCCCTGGGAAGTGCAGCTGCAGTTCACAAGTTGGAAATAGTTCGGTTTTCCGAAAGAGAAGGAGGGAGGGACGAGCAGACGGGAGATGGAGAGCGTGGTGGTGGGAGGGAAGGCAAGGTGGCGGGAGGGGGGTGCAGTGTGTAAAGTTGCGAAACTGGTTTTTCGTATTTTAAGCAGCACCTTTCACATGCCATTGTGGTGACCGCCATCTCCCATTATTGTTCCAAATCTCATTTCATTTTGAAGATCAATGAGTGTTTTCTCTGGGTTTTCAGGACACAGGCAAGAATAATAGATCATTGAACTTTAGGATGCCTGCTAACTTCCTATACAAACACTCTCCACTTTGGTCTCACTAATCTGCCCTTGATCAGCAATTTAAATGCTAAAGCTTTGTTCCTCCAAAAGGGGGGTGGGGGGGCAGTGTTACAGATAATGCGCGAGAAGGCACCATTAAGGGATGCACAAGTTAAATTCGAGCCCGTCCTGCCGTCACCAAAAACTGCTTTAAAAAAAAAAAATTCCCCACTCTTTCTAATGAATGCCACAAGAGATGCAACTGGGGTATAATATAGGAATCAATTTATAAAGCTTAGCCTAAACCGATTAATTTGTTGCCTTCAATCCCGAGTCCAATAAAGTCCTAGTGTTCCTCCAGTCACTTATTCTATAAAAAGATCAAGTTATTTACTGCCAATTAAGCAGCCTGTTTTGTCTTTGTCCTCAGTAAGCTGAGAGTGTGGGCTCCCCCTGAGGCTCCCAGCTATCTGCTCAAGACATTCAGCTGGTACCTCAGAAGAAGGCGAAGTTTGCCTGTCCCTGGCCCAACTTGGGTGCTGCAAAAAAACGAGGAAGAGGGAACGAAACAAGGACTCCGGTTCCTTAAATAGGCCGATTTTAAACACATTTCCTCCGAAAGAGTCCCGGAACGTGTGTCCAGTGACCGCACAATAAACCAGAATAAGAACTGCACCAATTAAGCTGTAACAAAACCCTGAGACTTTGGAAACAGGACCACTCTAAAACCCATTAGCATTGCATTTATCCGAATGCATCATACCTTTATGTAAATTGATTTATCTGATGCATTTACTCGAGGAATTGCTTTTTGTTACAATTTCAGCCCTAACCCAAATGAATCTGCATTTCCTGCCCTAGGTCTTTAAACTGTTTCCCCCCCACACACACACCCCCCAACGTTTTAATCGCTCCGAATTCCTTTTTAAAAGGAGAGGGAGGGAGGAGATTCCAAGCTCTTCCCCGCCCCCATCTTTAGTGAGAGGTAAATATATATGTAATTTTTTTTTTGAAAAGGAAACATTACACTGAGAAAAGCATCCAGTAACCCCATTAGCTAAAGCTCTTAAGGACAAGCAATACCTTAATGCTGATTAAATCTAAAAGAGATGAATCAAGAGGACTGACCAGAAACTGACTCCCCTGATAACTAAGGACGGGCCCTCATCAAGTTTCATTTAGAGTTGGAAAAAAAAAAAAAAGAAAGCTTTTAAGTTAAATAGGCTTATACTCTAGTAATTACATAGCCAAGCAATTTAGGTCCTGGGATAGTCAGTGAAATAGAAAGCAGAACTGGCAGCTAGAGGCAAAATCTGCCCCCCTTTAACAACGTCTCTGGTGTTTTTTAATGGAGACCAAGGGAGGGACAAACGTAACGCTGGCAATTTGTAGTACAAAAATGGATGCTTAATTCATGTCTTGATTTTAATTAGGTGATTCACCGGATTTCTCCTGGATTGGAACAAAAGACTTATAAACCAAAAGGAATTTTTTAAAAAGAACCAGCAATACCGAATCCTGCTCACTTAGATCCTTCCTGCCACTGTTTCAAAAATAGTGTTTACTAGAAGGGGGGGTATCGTGACTACTCCCACCCCCCCAATACACTACTTCTCATACTGAAATCCTCATCTAAGTACCCCTTGCCTTTCCCTTATGAACCAGAAATATCCCCACCCCCTCTAGGGTCCCCACCAGCCCCGTTTCCAAGAAGAGCCCTTTTGTAAGCAGGAACCGCTACAAAGCTGGCGGCCCCGGGCTGCCCTCCGCGCTAGCTTGCAGGCCGGCCTCGGTAGTTTCAGACTCGCGCTTTATCTAAGCCGACGTATTGTTTACTTGCAATTTGGGACGGTCAGGGTAAGGAAGCCAAAGAAAACAGCCCTGGCCCGAATCGGCCCCCTCCCTCCCTCTCCCCGCTCCCGGCCCGCGGCTCCCCAGCCGCCCCCTTACCTGCTTTTCCCCTATATTGCAATATTGCGAGAGGCGGCGGCGGCGAAATGCGAGCGAAGGCGCTCGGCTTCCAGGGAAGGGGCGCCTGGGCTGGCGGCGCTGGAGGGAGGGAGGGAGTTCTCGCAGAAGCAGGAAAGGGGAGGAGGGGGCTAAGGGCAGCTTTTTTTTTTTTTTAATCGCGTTGCTCTGGGGCGGGTTGGGGGCCCCCGCGTAAGTGGCAGGCGGCCGGGAGCAGAAGTGTCAGTCTCAGTCCTCGTCCTTCTCCTCCGCCTCCGGCTGCGCGCGAGCAGCTGCAGGAGCCCTCGGCCCGCGCGGCGCGGCTTCAGGCGCGGCGCAGCGGCAGCAACTGCTGCAATCGCTGCTGCAAGTTTGGCAATGTGGCTTCACTTTGTATATTCCCCCGCCCGGCGGCCCCCGCCCCCGCCCGCGCTCCTCCCGCTCCTCCTCCTCCGCCGCCGCCTTCCTCCCTCCCGCGCGCTCGCTCGCTCCGGGCAGGCAGCGGCGGCTCGACTGAGCTCCCTGCACCTCCGGCCCGGAGCAGCCGCAGACACAACAGCCCCGGGAGCGGCGGCGGACGGTGGAGGCCGGTAGGCGGGCGCTCCCAGGAGTCGGCGCTGCGGCCGGCCGGGCCCGGAGCGCTGGAGCCTGCGCCGCTGCCGGGGCTGTTGCCGGGGCTGCTGCTGCCCGGCTCGGAGGCGGCGGCGGCGGCGGCGCTGGCCTCTAGCCGGCTCGCTCGCTCCCTCCGCGGCTCTTACACATGTGTTACTGACAGAGCAAAATCCCAACTACTCCCCGGCTCTGCCGCCGACGTCAGCGACCCTCAGCCACTGGGCGGCCGGATTGTTCAGGCGGAATAATAAAACCTGCCAATCCGTGGAAGGACAAAGGGATGACTGAAACGAGACTCGGGGGGCGGGGGAGAGAGCGAGGCGGCGGAACGGGCCGACGGAGGAGAAGGGAAGGGCCCGAATCAGGTGGGGAGAAGTGACCCGGGTGCCTGGCGCCGGGGACCCGCTTGGGCTGCCCTTCGCGACCCAGGATCCGGAGCCGAGATGCGAGGGGGCCGCACCTGCCTTCTCAGCGCTTGGGGCCCTGAGGACCGGCGCCCGCTTGCCCCTCGGGGACTGCCATCCCCTCGATCCGAGAGGGCACCCTTAGGAAACTTCTCATCTTTCTCAGAAATGGGTCTCTTCCTGTTTGGGAAGATAAGTCCTGCGTCTTAGGGCAGTGGACTTCCGTCCCCCAAATGCACACGCACACACACAATACAGGAGAGGATTTTTGTTGTTGTTTTTTTAATTCACGACATTGGAGATTTGTGAACCGTAGAGGAAGCTTAGTTAACAAGGTAGAAAGATAAGGGAAGTAATAGTTGCTAGCTAAATACTTCCTACTTACCTTCCCTTATCCCCTCATTTACCCGAGTATAAAAGTGCCTAGCAGACATTTCATAGGTCTTTGTCAATTGCTAGTGATGTAGGAGCACGGTCCTTATTTTAAAAGTTGTCGAAAACTTCGGGGAGAAAGACTTGCCCGACCACCCTCCTCACTGTGGAGGATGAGAGGCGGAAATTCTCATAGACCCCCAAAGCAATGGAAGTAATTGCAAGATTTGCAATCTCCAGCCTCCGGAGAGTAAGAAATGTCACCTCTACTATAAATCAGTTTTTGAGGAATGCTTTTAGGGTGCTAGCCTGAGAGTCTTTTTCCAAGGCCGAAGCACAACCTAGATGCTTGAATTACCTAGGCATTCGACTTTACTCTGCCAAATAGGTTTAATAAATCTCCAAACTGAGGCTAATATTAGGCCTGATTATTGTTAGTAAGTTCCAGAGAGATTTTTCTGGTGGAAATTATCATGAAAGTGCAAAGCCCTTCTGCTAAGTATCATTAAGTAAAACCAGCCTTGTGGGACAAGTTTTCATATTGTATTACACACAGTACTGCTAGATTGAGAAAAGGAACCTGAAGGAGAATCTGGTGAGACAATGCAGATGTTGAACATCTATGGTTTTAGTGTCTGTTTGGGGGATTTCTGTCTTTAAAACCTTCAAAATGAATAAGGCTGCGTAAGAAAGAATAATTATTACTCATACAATCAGGTAGAGGGCATTTTAAATATCAATTCAAATACTCACTTTTTAATTCTATCTTCTTAAAATTAAATGAATTAACTTCACTGATTTGTATTTAAAATTGCACTGTTATGATCAATTCACCTTGTGTGCATTTAAAAAACATTTTTTGATAGTAATTAAAATATCCTACACAGAAAACAGCTGCAGATGGGCATGATTAATTAAGGACCAACTTAAAGAAGATATAATGCTGCTTGAAGGTCAGTCAAGAAAACTCAAACCAGTTGAGGAAAGGAACCCCATAAACAAATAATACATTTGAATTCCCTGGATCATTTTCAATTTGTTAATAATTTATAATAAAATGAGATGACACAAGATCTTAGTGGGGGCTACAATTAAGTTATGATTTGTTATGTGCAAGTATATTTCCTTCTCTGGGCCTTGCTTTTCTCATGTACAAATGAGAAAATTAAGCCAAATGGTCTTTAGTTTTCCTTTTTTAAAATGATTTTCTTAGATAGAACACATAATGCATAGATGTATAATGAACTGTGGTATGTTTCAGTATTTTTCCTGAACTGTGTACGCTAAAATGAAATCTTAATTCCTGAAGGTAACGTGAGAAATTTAACCAGACACGCGTTCAGCCATCACTGAGTGATTATCCAAAGGATCCCAGTAGTTGTTTGTGGAAGGAAGGAAAGTGAGATGGCTAAAACTTTGAATACAGAGCTCTAGGCTACAAGGGCCTACATTTTAGGAGGTGGTTTTAGTGCTTCAGCTCTAATTCCGTGTGGAGTCAGGTCTTTAAGTATGTCCTGGTAGATTAGAGTGGGTGGGAGCGTATTACTAGAGAGCTTTATTTGCTGATGTGTGGTTATAGAAATACAAAAGCGATAATGGCTAACAGTCTCTCTTCTGAGAGGTAGGGAGTAAATACATTCGCTGTAATCAAAATTCAGGTGTACTTTAACCACAGCGCCACCTCTCGGTAGTCTTTATTTCTGCATTCTTTGCGTTTAGCAGTCCTTTCTCATCCTCATTTGCGGTCTGGAAGTGCCTGGTTGAGTGGGTAGCAATGTCAATCTTTTATTTCCACTGATGCGAGACACAAAAACCGTGTAAACACACACAAATTCATTATGGGTAAATAAATTCTGTATTTGGGTATTCTTCAAACAAATATTAAAAACTGCATAAAGTGATATTCCTGGTATAAAGTAAAATTGTCTAACTCAAAATAATGTTATATTGTGCCCCACAGTTCAAGAAACCTCTGCTGATATCACATATTAGTCATTCAGCCTACTCATCTGCAATGAGATATAGGAGTATGAGGCTTTGAAAAGAAAGATACATGTAAATGGTTTCTTTCTTGAATCCTAATTAAATGTGGGAACCATATTGATCCTTGATCAAGCCCCCATTTTCTCCATTTGCCCCAGAATTCTTTGTTCATAGTTTCCTTTCTCTCTTATGTCCTTCAATCATAATCATTCTTTTCTCCAAGTGACAGTTCTCTAAGAATCTCCTCTGGACAGCCAGAGGTTCTCCACAGACCTGTGTAGCCTTTAATGTCTGGAGAAAGTCTAGACTATTTGATGCCGATGTGACCTCCAAGACAACACGCCCCAGCTCTCTCTCAGGAAAAAATATTCTGTCCTTTTAATGTCAATGCAAAACCGTTTTTGAAGAAAGTCTTTTTAGGAAGGAAATTTTTTAAAAAATCTGCTCACCTTTACCTTTATTACTGTCATCACAGAGATCCCTTGATATTGAAAGTTTCCTCCAACGTGAATACAAAAAGCTTGAGTCTAGGACAACAATTCCAAAGTGTAAAAGGTGTGGAGCGAAAAGGAAACAGTAGTTACCAACAGACAGAACCCAAGGAAGAGGAAGGGCAGGTTAGGTCCTGGGACAGTTTTTTTTTTTTTTTTTTGTGGTGGGGAGTATGGCACAGTAAGTAGAGTCAGGGACCTGCTGCTTCATTTAAGGAATTTACAGCCACAGTGGCCCATACGTGTAATCCCAGCACTTTGGGAGGCTGAGGCAGGCGAGTCCCTTGAGTTCAAGACCATCCTGGGCACCATGGCAAAACTCCATCTCCACTAAAAATGCAAAACTTCAGCTGGGTTTGATGACATGTTCCCCGGAGTCCCAGCTGCTTGGGAGGCTGAGGTGGGAGGATCACCTGAGCCCTGGAAGTTGAGGCTGCAGTGAGCTGTGATTGTGTCACTGCACTCTAGCCTGGGCAGTGAGAGTAAGGCCCTGCCTCAGGGAAAAAAAAAAGAAAAGAAAAAAAGGAGGAGAACTCAACATCTTGAAAAGCCTATATTTCAAAGATACCGTATCTTGGCTTTAAAATTGATATTTAATAATACTTTGATTTTACTGACTGCCTTTTTAGTCTTTCTGAAAATTCTTTATAAATATCTCACTAAATGTTTCATATGATAAATGTTTCTAATAGTTGCCTTATTAGAACATTTTTATTTGTTTTTTTGTTAAAGCAATCCAGATGATGTTTGTAAGTATCCCACCAAATTATGTTAATCAGTATTAACTACTATTTTTAAGGTAATATATAAGCATAGTGAAGAAGTTGATATTATGGCAATAAAATAACATCACGGAGGAAAAGGAAACAGCATTGACATTGTTGTGATTGAAAATATAATTTAAGATGTAGATTTTGATTTTAATTATTCTATTTGATTAAGGCATTTGAAACTCCTGGAGTTGATGGAAAGGTGAGAAAGATAATAGGAAGGAAGAAAACACCTCTGTGACCCAGCATTTTGCCTGATTTAGCAAGACCACTTGAAAATAGTGTCATGAATGACTCATTGTCTTCATACAGTTTATGACCGTAGCAGCAGGACGTTACAAATCCCCCACATTTGCCTCAGAACTATCAGCAAATCTTGTTTTTTCAACAGTCTCCCTCTGTCTCCAGGCTAGAGTGTAGTGGTGCAATCTCAGCTCACTGCAACCTACCTCCGCCCCCTGGGTTCAAATGATTCTCCTGCCTCAGCCTCTCAAGTAGCTGGGACTACAAGCACACACCACCATGCCTAGCTAATTTTTGTGTTTTTAGTAGAAACGGGATTTCACCATGTTGTCCAGAATGGTCTCGATCTCCTGACCTCATGATCCGCTCACTTCGGCCTCCCAAAGTGCTGGGATTACAGGCGTGAGCCACCACACCTGGCCACGTTAGTGTCAGTTTTAATTCTAGTACTGATATAATTAAGCTTTTTCTCTGTGTGAATTTGTAATAAGATGTATTTCAAAGTACAATATTGGTTTCTATTTGTTCACCAAAAAAAGTTGATGAAAATATGATAATATTTATGTTATGATAACATAACATCACTATTCATCCAATTGTAATGAATAACTCTGTTGGAATTAGGGAAGTACAATCCATAGCTGTCCTTGGACTTGAAAAGCACACATTTCTACTCTATATAGAGCCATAAATTTTTTAGAATAAAAAGAACAACCAGATATGAATTTTTTTAAATAATAAAATTTAATAACTCAATTGACTAAAATGTGTTCCCTCCACACAGAGGTACACATTATAACGTCATCATTTATATTTCTCAACATAAATCAAATTTCATAATAAAATTGTTTTTGATGAATCACCACTTCTTTTCTAGCTTCCAAATATTCTGACAGAG